GCTTTGCAAACGTTTCCGTTCCTCCTCTTTTATTTACTGCATTCTGTCACGATTTCAGAACTTGAGGTCCGATGTATCAATTGTTATATTTTTACTTTTGCTTTAAGCTGCTGGATGTCTTCGCATAACAATCTAATTTGGATGTTTGTCGCAATCGTGTTGGGCATTCAAACCGTAAGTAACGCGACTGCCTAGTTAGTCTTCTTGACTTGAAATGCATCGAATCATTGTAATAAAGTTCAATAGATAATGACGTTTTCGGTTGAGGCCATGATATTCCTTAAACAGATGCCATATACAGAGATTCATTCATAAAACTTAAGCTAAAGCCCATGTCGTGTTTTCTTTCTTTAGTTCAACTTGTTGATATTAGTTCGGGTCGTAAAGGAAATCACCCAAATGCAGCCAACAGTAGGAGATAATAATATTCACCAGATACGGTAAGAAGAACATTGACCGAAAGAGAGCATAGTTTGCTAAACTCTCGCAAAAAGATTTAGTTCAGCAACGTTTGATACAATCCATGCTTCTAGTTTTTTTTTTTTTTTTTTTNCAACATCAGCAATTTGGTGTTGAGTCACACATTGTCAAAATGGCCAGCTGAATTTGGCACTCAGAGCAGCAGAAGTTGAAAGCATTAGCTAACAGACCATATTTGTATTCTCGGTATTGAACTGGAACTAGCTTGCGTTGGAGGTTCATACAGGGAAATATCATTGAAAAAGGACAAATGCTATTTGCATTTGAAAAGATTCCCCGCATTAGCCATTAGCCTCAGTTGCAAGCTAGTTCCAATCCAATACCGAGAATACGAATATGGTCTATTTATATTGAGAGAGTAACGCGGTTGATTTACATCCCAAGAATATTTGGAAGATAGGTTTTTTTTTTTTCTTTCGTACATGTATGTGCATTATTATATCGTTTATTCAATGCAATGAAATCGAAAATTTGTGATGCGTCTACGTGCCATCAACTCATTGTCATTGTTATCATCTTTTTGCAGACTTGGCATCAAAGCATGCTTGGTAATTAGTCCTTTGCTTGGAATCACGTGGTTGTTTGGTCTTCTGACGCCATTACACAAAGCTTTCATCTACATTTTTACTATCCTCAACTCTACTCAGGTGAGTTATTTGTTCCTACAGTTCAATTGCCTTTGCACTCCTAAATGCATTTTTTAATTAATGGTTTGATATAGATTTTGTTTTCGACAAAAATCGCTTTCCCGACATGTACCTTTAATTACAGCTGTGTGTAATCTTGTGTGTTTGCTGTTTTTAAATGAGGAATTATTATACTTGATAACGATAAGTCTTACTGGTCTCAGTCAGTATTTGAAAACAATTGATTGCCGGTATACCAAGGTCTTGAAAAAAGT